GTTCTCTGAGCTTTCTGGAACTGTGGATTGGTGTCTGTCTTTAATTTTGGAAAATATTCAGCCATTATTACTTCAAATATTTCCACTGTTCTTTTTTCTTTTTCTACTTCTTCTGATAGTCTCATTATGTGTATGTTACGCCTTTAAAATTGTCTGTACTCCTTGGATTTCTTTCTTTCTTTCTTTCTTTCTTTCTTTCTTTCTTTCTTTCTTTCTTTCTTTCTTTCTTTCTCTCTCTCTCTCTTTCTTTCTTTCTTTTTCTTTCCTTCCTTCTTTCCTTCCTTCTTTCCTTTCTTCTTCTTTCTTTCTTTCCCTTTCTCTCCTTCCTTCCTTCCTTCCTTCCTTCCTTCCTTCCTTCCTTCCTTCCTTCCTTCCTTCCTTCCTTCCTTCCTTCTTCCTCTCTCCCTTCCTCCTCCCTCCCTCCTTCCTTCTTTTTTGAGACAGAGTTTCCCTCTCTTGCCCATGCTGGAGTGCAGTAGTGTGATCTTGGCTCACTGCAACCTCCGCCTCCTGGGTTCAAACAATTCTTGTGTCTCAGCCTCCCAAGTAGCTGGGATTACAGGCATGTGTCACCATGCCCAACTAATTTTTGTATTTTTAGTAGAGGTTGGGTTTTGCCATGTTGGCTAGGCTGGCCTCAAACTCCTGGCCTCAAGTGATCCACCCACCTTGGCCTCCCAAAGTGCTGGGATTGCAGGCATGAGCCACAGTACCTGGTCTTTTACTGTTGTTGTTGTTTTTTCTTTGTTTATAGTTGGGGAAGTTCCTACTGACATATCATCAAGCTCACTGATTCTTTTCTCAGTTGTATCCAGCCTATGTGATCACATCAAAGGCATTCTCCATTTCTGTTGTTTGATTGTTTTTTATTTCTAGCATTTCCTTTGTATTCGTTCTTAGAATTTCAATTTGTCTGATTACATTTTTTACCTCTTCTTGCATGTTGTTCACTTTTTCAGTTAGAGCCCTTAGAAAATTAATCAGTTATTTAAAATTTCCCATCAGATAATTCCTACATATCTGCCATATCTGAATCTGGTTCTGATGCTTACTTTGTCTCTTCAGACTATGTTTTTTTGCCTTTTAGCATGGCTTGTAACTTTTTGCTGAAAGCCAGACATGATGTATTGGGTAAAAGAAATTGAGGTAAATAAATTTGTAGTATGAGATTTTATGTTTATTTGGGTAGGAGTTAAACTATGTTTACTATTTGCTATAAATAAATAGCAATGGTGTCAGAGGCCAAAATTTTCTCTAGTGTCCTTTTTTGTTTCCTATTTCATCTTTGGGTTTCCCTAGATATTCCTTCTTAAATGCAGTCTGAGCCTTGCAGTTCTTTCAGCTGTATCCCTTGATTGATGTGGTGTTAAGGTAGAGGGGAAGTGTTGTGTAATCCTATGATTGGGTCTCAATCTTTCAGTGAGCCTGTGCCCCAGAATTGTGGCCTTCATAAGTGCTTCTCAGCCCACCCCTTAGGTAAGACAAGAAGGCTAGAGAGGGCTGGAGTTGGGAATTTCTCTTTTCCCATGTCAGTTAAGTTCTGGTAAAATTCACAGCAGTTGGATTCTGGTAAAATAGTTTCCCTTGAGGAAGGGCATTTGTTAAGGAGAACAGAATGCTCTGAGCATATTTCAAAATGGCTCCTTTCCTTATCCCCCTGCTAGAAGCATGAGGTTTTTGTCTTTTCTACAATTTCCCCTCCCAAAACCTATGGGGCTCCTGGAGGTTAAACTTATGGCAATATTAGGGGCACCCCTAAGGCTGTGCCTCAGAACTGTTTGTCTCTAAGCTAGTCCACACTTAGTCTCTAGCAGTTAGTCATTTACTCTTTCAGTTTTCTTACCATTTGTTGTCTTCAGTGGCATTTTCTACTCCTAGTGCCTTAGATTCATATATTCTGAACACTTTCTGTATCCACCTCACTCTCTGGTTTTGGGGGCTGCAGTTTGCCCTGTGACCCTGATTCCATGATGGATCTAAGAAGAATTGTTGATTTTCAGTTTGTTCAGCTTTTCGGTTGGTTTGAGGATGGGAATGATGATTTCCAAGCTCCTTACGTCCTAGTCTGGAAATCGGCAGACCCCCGACCTCTCTGCACCCCTTCCAAGGAGGCTTTTATCCACAATACTATTCTGAAATTGCTTCTGTCAAGGTCACCAGTGTCTGTGTGTTGCCAATCCAGTAGTTTCCATGATGGCTATCCTGTAAATAACATTTGACACAACTGATCACTTCTCTTTGGACACAATATCTTTACCTGGACTCTGAGCCATTCTTTCTCTTGCTTCTCCTACACCCATGACCACTCCTAAATCTCCTTTTCCATTTCCCCCTCATTTCCTTATCTTCAACGTTGGAGGATGCCAGGGCTCAGACATTAGATTTATTCTTTTCTCTGTCTACTTGACATGAAATATTATCCACATATTTATAATTCTCAGTTCTATATCTTCATACTGGACTTCTCCCCTGAAGTTCAATTTACATATTCATTTGCCTACTCAAACCTGCTCCCCCAAGGTCCTCCCATATCAACAGAAGGCAACACCCTTGTTTAAACCAAAAACACTGGCATCATCCTTGACTCCTTCCTTTGTCATCCAATCCAGCAGGAAATCTCATCTAGTCTACCTCCAGATTACATCCAGAATCTGACTGCTTCTCACCTCCGTTGCTATCTCTTTAGTCAGAACCATGGCCACGTCTCACCTGGGGAAATAAATAACATCTTACCTCATCTCTTGCTTCTGCCTTTGTATCTTGCAGTCTACACTCAACACAGAAAATAAGGCGATGCTGTTAAAATGAAGTCAGATCCTTTCGCTCCTTTGCCTGGAATCCTCCAGTAGCTTCTCATGTCATTCAGAGCAAACACCAGAGTATTTTGACTCCACCTCCTTGAGCTGACCTGCCTCTCTCCCTTTTGCCCATCCCAAACCCCACTGGCCTGGCTCTTCCTCAACTATACCAGGTTTCTTACACATGCTGTTCGCTCTGCCTGGAGAGATATCTTTATGATGTACTCCCTTCCAAGCTTAGGTCTCTCCTCCAACATCACCTGCTCAGCAAGGCCTTTCTTGCCCACCCCATTTGAAAGTGGGATCCACGCCCACAGCATTCTCCACCCTTTCTGTACTGCTTTATTTTTCTTAGCAGTATTTCTCACCATCCATCACGTCATATATTCATATGTTTGTCATCATCTCTCTTTTCCCATGAAAATACTAATTCCTTTAGAACGCGACTCTGACTCCTTTGGTTCGCTGCTGTGTTTCTAGTGCCTGGCACTATATGTGCCCAATAACTTTTTGAATGAATGAACAGCAGGATGAGATTCCAGGGACATGAGGTAGGATTAATTTGATGATTCAGGGAAAGGTGGCAGACAGGATATCTGGCAAGGGAGTGGTGGAAAGCAGGTCTGGATAAGGGGGGTGTGTGTGTGTTGTGTGTGTTGGTGTGCACCTCCTTGCACATGTGTGTAATCACACACACGGCAGAGAAGACCAGGGTCTAGAAAGCCTGGCAGAGGATAAGATGTTTTATTCTGGCTGATGGAAAGTCACGGAGGTTCTTCTATGAAGAAGTTTCAGAGAGGGGAATGTGACATCTGGAAATGCCCCTGATGGATGCGGACAAGAGGGACTACAGGGAGGAACCTGAAAGCAGAGGACCATAGAGGGGCCAGAGAGAGGGCTTAGGTGCTGCCCTCGTCTGGGCCCTTGGCCCTTCTTATGTGTGCTCATGCTACACTCGCCTAATGGGTCCTCAGAATGATTTTTATACAACACAAATCTTACAAGGCCACTTGCCAGCTGGAGAGCCGTGGTTCCCTCCCACTGCCCCGGTGTTGTTAGTGTGCCATAGAGGTGCCTTTGGAATGTGGCTTTCCCAGCACCTCCCCATGCCTCCTGACTCCAGCCGGGCCCAGATCCTCCATCTTTCCGGTTGTGCCATCCTCCTTCACCCTCTTCCCATTGCTTTTATTGTTTTCTCTCCATGTAATTTATTCATTCGTTTAATACGCCGTGATTGCAGGCCTCCTTTGTGCTGGGTACTCTCCTATGCTCTGGAAATAAAGAAGTAAAAACAATAGACAGGATTGCTGCCTGCCTGCTCTTGTTCACCTGAACGAGAAAAGTCTCTGCCCTTCCAGAAAGGCTGTGTGAATTAAGAGTCTTGGTCGCAAGTGACAGAAAATGATGTAAGCAATTATCATTAAGAGTAATGATCAGGGTCGGTGCATTGGCTCTTGCCTGTAATCCCAGCACTTTGGGAGGCCGAGGTGGGTGGATCACCTGAGGTCAGGACTTTGAGACCAGCCTGGCCAACACAGCCAAACCCTGTCTCCACTAAAAATACAACAACAACAACAAAAAATTAGCTGAGCGTGATGGCATGCACCTATCATCCCAACCACTTGGGAGGCTGAGGTAGGAGAATTGCTTGAACCCGGGAGGTGGAGCTGAGAATTGCTTGAACCTGCAGTGAGCCAAGATTGTGCCACTGCACTCCAACTAAGTGACAAAGTGAGACTCTGTCTCAAAAAACAAACAAACAAACAAACAAATGAGGAATGATCAGTAGGAGTTAATTTATTGCTTCATATAACCGAAGACTCTGGAGATAGACAGTGAGGCTTCAGGCACAGATGGATCCAGGGTCTCACTCTCTCCATCTCTCGGATTCTTCCTCAGCCATGTTGTGTCCTTCATGACAAGATGGCTGCAGCAGCCCCAGAGTTGCATCTAGCCTCCCAGCAGCCTCAGAAAATCTTTGACTCAACAGTTGGGTACTATTACCAGAGGAAGGTGGATTAAGTCTTGGGCAGGCAAAACTAAGAGTCTTTACAAAGGTCTGGTTCTAGTGGCGTTTCCCCTTTTCCCCTCCCAGGCAGGGACTAGGCTTTCTCCCCTGAACATGCTGCTGGTTGCAGAGGGGAGGAGGACTCCAGAATGTGGGAAAAGAGGACTCAGGTTCTCCTGCCCTCCTCCCTCCAGATCCCTGTGTCCATGTGTTCCAAGAGGTGCCAGTCAGGGCAGAAGAAGAAGCCCATGGGCATCCACACCTGCTGTTTCGAGTGCATCGACTGCCTTCCCGGCACCTTTCTCAATCAGACTGCAAGTATGATTGGAGGCCTAGCACTCCTGCCCCACCCCTGCCCTGCTCCTGCCCCGCCCCTGGAGTCTCTAGGGCGCGTCCCCTTTGGCAGAGTCTCTGGAGTCTCTCTCAGGGGGGTGTGAGTGTCCGAAGGCCATATCTGATACCTCTTACATCCTCCCAAAACCTGGCATAGAGCGAAATTCTCCATACAGACTGCTTCAGAGAGAGAGGGAGAAGGGACAACATTCCCCGAAGCAAGGCTGCAGCTGAGTGCATTCTGCACACACGCAGCCCAGGGCCCAGGGAACATCCACTGGATGATGAATGAATGAATGGATGAATGGTGCTTGCAATAGGAGGGAAGTTTCTGGCAGACAGGGAAGACACTAACTCATTTATCCCTCTGGCTTCCGAAGTGCCTAGCATAGCTCACAGCACAGCACGACTGCTCAGCGAGTGCTTGTCAAATGACTTCCTTGATGAGAAGAAAGATCATTTCTCCCTAGAGAGCACTCTAGGAAGGTGCAGACAACGCCATTTCTGTCCACGTTAGTGTTTTGCACAGTTCAGAGTTGGAGCTCATTTTTTTTATGACTTCACTAGTGTAAATTAAATGGATGATGACATTTACCAAATACAAGTATTTACTATGTGCCTGGCAGACCACAGAGCACAGAGGAGGTGGTGAGCCAGTTTGTGGAATGATTTCATTGGCCATCCTCTCGCAGCCAGTCAATAGCTGGGAGGCAAGGGCTGGGTTTTAGCCATCTCTCTGTGGACTTCCACCCCAAGTGCCTAATATAATGGATGGTGCTCAGAAAAAACACATATTGAATGCATTCTTTTAGTAAGTGGTTAAATGCCTCTCACACCAGAGGGTGAGGTCTTGGAAGGGAGGAACTATAGGTAATAGGTTCTGGGCCAATAAGACCTGGGTTCAAATCCTGCCTCTCTGATTTACTGGCTTTGTGACTTTGGACAAATTAGTTCACCCGACTGAGCCTTGGTTTCCTCATCGGTGAAGTGTGGTTGTGTGAGGATTTGATGAGCCAATGCACATAAGAGACTCGAGGAGCATTTGCTGTGAATGCAAGGGCTGCCCCTGGTGCTCTCTCCCTTGGCGCCTTCTCTCCATCCCTGGGGCCTGGGCCTTTGCAGGGCTGGAGGATGCAGGTGCTTGGAAGATGGGCTTGGCTAATGGGAGTCGCTGTGGGCTTTTGCAGATGAATATGATTGCCAGGCCTGCCCGAGTAACGAGTGGTCCCACCAGAGTGAGACCTCCTGCTTCAAGCGGCGGCTGTCTTTCCTGGAATGGCATGAGGCGGCCACCATCGCTGTGGCCCTGCTGGCCGCCCTGGGCTTCCTCAGCACCCTGGCCATCCTGGTGATATTCTGGAGGCACTTCCAGACGCCCATGGTTCGCTCGGCTGGGGGACCCATGTGCTTCCTGATGCTGACACTGCTGCTGGTGGCGTACATGGTGGTCCCGGTGTACGTGGGGCTGCCCAAGGTCTCCACCTGCCTCTGCCGCCAGGCCCTCTTCCCCGTCTGCTTCACCATCTGCATCTCCTGCATCGCCGTGCGCTCCTTCCAGATCGTCTGCGTCTTCAAGATGGCCAGCCGCTTCCCGCGCGCCTACAGCTACTGGGTCCGCTACCAGGGCTCCTACGTCTCTGTGGCGTTTATCACAGCACTCAAGATGATCACTGTGGTGATCAGTTTGCTGGCTACGGGCCTCAACCCCACCACCCGCACTGACACCGATGACCCCAAGATCATGATCATCTCCTGCAACCCCAACTACCGCAACAGCCTGCTGTTCAACACCAGCCTGGACCTGCTGCTCTCGGTGGTGGGTTTCAGCTTCGCCTACATGGGCAAGGAGCTGCCCACCAACTACAATGAGGCCAAGTTCATCACCTTCAGCATGACCTTCTATTTCACCTCGTCCGTCTCCCTCTGCACCTTCATGTCTGTCTACGATGGGGTGCTGGTCACCATCGTGGACCTCTTGGTCACCGTGTTCAACCTCCTGGCCATCAGTCTGGGCTACTTCGGCCCCAAGTGCTACATGATCCTCTTCTACCCGGAGCGCAACACGCCAGCCTACTTCAACAGCATGATCCAGGGTTACACCATGAGGCGGGACTAGCGCCGCCCAGGGGCGTCCGGGAGGGATGGCCTCGGCGTTGGGAGGCGGAAGCCGGGGGTCTGGCTGGTTCAACTCCAGAGGGAGGCAGGGAAGCCATCCCCAACTTTTCCCACCTTGCCCTGGTTTCTAATTTAGCAGTCCTTGGAGGTTCTCTGCATCGGGGCCATTTTTGCCCATTTAGTGATGGATGCCTTAAAACATCCACTTTGTTCCTTTCCCTTGACCAGTTTTAATTGCCAGGCACTGCCACCTTCTTCCAGAAAAAAACCACCCAAGGTGACCTATTGGTCTCCAAGGACAGTCTGATTTAGCAGCCTCCAGCCGCCATCTGGCGGTCACAGTGGGCATCTGCGGGCTGCAGCTCATTCCCTTCACTCAAGTTCAAGGCCAAGGGAAGCCCTGGGGGGCGCTGGGCTGGCTTGGGCTGGGCCTGGCCGGGGTTGGTGTGGGCTGGTGGGGACTGCCACTCAGCCTGTGAGTTCGGATAGTGCAGCCATGGCTCCATTCACTAGCTGTCTCACGTGTCCGTTCCCTTTCCTTCTTCCTGAAGAGCTGGGGCCCAGATCCCTGGGTTATCTCTCAGGGCTGGCCATGCATAGCATGCTTCCCAGATGCTTGTGAATAAACCTCCCTTGGGTGAAATGAATGCGCTTCCTTCCTGTTTTCAGAAGTCCCTTGAGAAAGAACATGTGGAATCAGACCTCAGTCTCAATCCCAGTAGTGTCACTTCCAGGCTGTGTGACTTTAGGCTGTCACGTTGACTTTGATGTGGACAACAGCTTACATTTATTGCCAAGTCCCTGGCTAAGAACTTTACTACTGTATCCACGTATTCCTCACAAAACTCTATTGATTGTGTGCAATTATGCTCCTTATTTTACAGATGGTGGGCCGAGGGCTGAGGGAAGAACTCAAAGAAGCTATAGAACTTACCCAGAGTCACAAAGCTTGTCTGAGCACCCCCTTCCTCTCCCCAGAGCCTACTCCCGGAGCCACAGTCCTTTACGGGATAATATCCAGGTGGCCTGGCCTGGGAAGCTGTCCCCACTGTGGTGCACAGGGGGAAGGCTCAGGCTCCCCGGACAAGGAGCTGTGCTGTGGCAGGGGATTCAGATGTTAGGGAGGTGGCTGGTGGGTGCAGTGACCAGAAAAGCCTTTGGGAGAAGCTAGCATTTGGAAAGAGCCTTGAAGGACACAGAAGTGTTGGAAGGCTGGAAGTTTGGATGTGTGGGGGAGGGGCAGGTGGGGCCAGCAGGAGGAAAGGCGGGATGGAAGGAAGCCCAGGCAGTTCCAGGAGGACCATGTGGCTGAGAGTGGCCAGGCTGTGAGAACTCAGCTTCAAAGGGCAGCTAGGGCCAGATGCCGGGGTCTGGCCCTGGGTGTCTGGTGTCTGGCCCTTGTCCTCCTTGGGTGGCTACTCCCAGCATCCTGTGCACATTCTTGTTTATCCCTCCTCTGGGTCACCTGGGATGCCATCCTGCCCCTGTCTGGCCACTGTGACCAGCCTCCTCGGTGGCTCAGTCCTTTTCCCACAGTCCCCAGTGCTGACCTGGCCTTGTGGGCTGGAGACTGCTGGGCACAGACCCCAAGGATAGATGGTCAAGGTCTTTCTAGAATGTCCCTTCTCTGCCTCCTCCACTCACTTCCCAGGGGAGCCCAGAGCCTTGGCCGAGGCCCACCCCAGTCCCAAGCTTTCTGGGAGCCACCCTGCATGATCCGTCCCTGGGTGTGACTGTCTCCCGTCCCCCTTAGCCTCGGGACCAGATTGTCAGAGGCTCAGGGAGTTTTAAGCTGTTAATTCTCTTTTCCTGCATGCTTCTGATGCCTTGCTTTAATTTTTTTTAAAAGAGATAATCACCTCATTTCTTGGTTCTGCCTCTTGGACCACCATGAGTGAAGAGAATCCTGGAATCCCACTGACCTCAGAGGGCCTCTGCTCCACACCTCCTAGAGCAGCCCTGAGGCTGGGATCTTGAGCCTTTAGTGTTTCCTCCAGTGATGGGAGCCTCACCAAGGACAACTCTAGTTATCAGAAACTTCTTCTTAGCTCAAATCAAAACCTGACTCCCTGGAATTTCTGTTTATGGACACTAGTTTCATTCTTTGGGATCATGAATTAAATCTAATTTCTAGCCTAAGCATGGTGGCTCACGCCTGTAATCTCAGCAGCTTGGGAAGCCAATGTAGGAAGATTGCTTGAGGCCAGGAGTTTGAGATCAGCCTGGGCAATGTAGCAAGACCCCATCTCTACAAAAATAAAAATTAGCTGGGCATGGTGGTGCGTGCCTGTAGTCCCAGTTACTCAAGAAGCTGAGGCAGGAGGATCTCTTGAGTGCAGGAGTTAGAGGCTACAGTGAGCAATGATTGTTCACTGCATTCCAGCCTGAAGGACAGAGCAAGCTCTTGTCTCTCCTTTCCCAGAAAATTGAATTCCTCTTTCTCACGATGCCTTTTACATACAATAACAAAAAGAATTGCTTTTCAAGGAGCACCTACTGTGTGCCAGGTACTTTTGACACATTATCTCCAGTCCCCACAGTGACCACGCCCCATGGGTACCAGTGACGTTGGTGGACATGGGCCAGTGCATCCCAGATCCCATCCTTCAGCTCTGCCCAGCAGCCCCTGTATGGTTCCAAGGAGGAGGAGTCCATCTCCTGGCTCCAAGGGGTGCAGCAGGCCAAGCCAATCAGCACTGTTCTTCCCAGTCTGCAGTGATTGGCTCAGAGGTGGGCACATGACCTTGGTTGGTCCAATCAGAGAAACTTAGAACTTTGGCTAGAACCAAGCTGCTTTCTACAGGAAGTTGCAAGGCCCTAGACCCAAGAGCTGGGGACGGTTCTTGTGGGATCACAAGGCAAGTCAGCCTCAGGGGAAAGCTGGACCTTACAGAAGGCAAAGAGGAAAGATGGAAAAACTCAGCCCTTGAAACTCTTTATGAGCTATTGGACCTCACCTGACGGCAGCCCCGCTTCTGAAACCTTGCATTTCATGAATCAGTTAATATCCCTTGTTGCTTAAGATAGCGTGAGTTGGATTTTCTGTCTTCTGCCACCCAAAACATCCTTGTACTACCGTAAAGGAAACTGAAGCTCAGAGATGCTGATTAACTTGCCTAGGGCCACTCAGCTCTTCAGTCAGGGAGCTAGGATTTGGGCTCAAGGGGAAATTGGGAGGGGTTACAGCAGTTGTGTTCTCACGTCACTGCTTCTTTGGTCTGAAGGTCCCCAGGTGCTCTGAGGACCTGATTTTGGCCTCCATCCTGGTCCTCTCCTCTGGACACACTCTGATTTGCAAGCGTCTCTCTTTAACCACCTTCCGATCTTTCCTCTTTGGCCCCTGCATTCCTGCCCAGATCCGCAGTCTCTGGCCACCTGAGTAATGTCTCCTAAACAGTCGCAGTCAGGAGCCCTCCTGTCTCAGAAACCTATGGCTCCCCAGTGCTTGGGCAGTACGTCCTCACTTAACGTTTTTGTACATTCTTGGAAACTGTGACTTTCGACACAAAGACAAGGCGTATAATAAAACCAGTATTTTGTTCTCATCAATATTATAACGAAACAACATTATTTGATGACCTGCTGTAAGTCCTTTCGCCTAAAGTCGCAGTTTCCAAAAACCTATCCATGACAGCATTGAGTGAGGACTTCCTGGACGGTCATGCCTGACCTCCTTTGTGCGCTGTGGAAAGCCTCACAAAATCTGAATCCTGCTCACCTTCCCAGCCTCATCTCCCAATGGCTCCAGTGGACTCCTGACTATCCCCAAACATGTTCCTGATTTCACACCTTTGCTCAAAATGTTCCTTCTTGATCGCCCTATGGGAAACTTACATTTATCCTTCAGGGCCCAGGTCAAATGCCTCCTCCCCTGGGGAGACTTTCCTGCTTTAGGGAAGAGGGGATTCTCTGCTCCCATAGCCTCTTAAGTTTCATCCCTGTTGGTCCTAATGCTTGGGACCTGCTGCTGTCTTTCTGGTCTGGGACTTCATGCAGGAGAGGGTCAGCCATGTTCTCTGTGAAGCTCTTTTCTCACCTGTTGTGGTTACCTACAACGCATTGCTGCTTGAAGCCTTGAGCACTCGTTGGCTGGGCAGGGCAATATCTGGGGCCATTTGCAGAGCTGGCACTGACCTGGTGGGAGTGTCCTTTTTGGGGAGCTGGCTGCGATTGGGCAGCCTGGCTCCAGGCCAGGTGAAATGTGCTGACATTTCCTCCAGTGGCTGGGGCTGCATAGGGGGACGGAGAGGATGACAAGGGGAAGGCAGAGGCTGGAGCTGAGCCTCACAAGTAAGGAAGAGGGTTTGGTTGGAACTCACAGGTGGCCTTTCGATTATTCAGACCAGAAACCTCAGAGTCATTCTTCACTCCATTTCTCTGCTGTCCCATACCTTATGGTAAACTAAAAATAAAAGCCCAAGTCCTTCATTGGTTGAAAGGACCCCCTCTTGGCCAAGGGGACCAGAGGAACCTTAAAAACTGGGTTCTAGGCCATGAGGTGAAGGGAAGTCAGATGCCTCGTTACATCCCTTCCGTTTTGGGGTTTAGGCACCACTGACCAGCATTCGTGGTAAAATCAACGTCACAAGACAGACAAAACAGGCTCGTTGTGGCAATAGGATACCAAGTGATAAGCAAGACCTAAAGCTGCGACAGGGAAGGGCTGAGTTAGCCTGTAGGCCATTGATCTCGATCAACAGGCCGTGGCGTGGCTGATTCTGGTACAGCATCCTCATCTTTTTTTTTTTTGAGATGGAGTTTTGCTCTTGTTTCCCAGGCTGGAGTGCAATGGGACCATCTCAGCTCATCACAACCTTGACTCACCACAGCCTCCGCCCCCTGGGTTCGAGCGATTCTCCTGCCTCAGCCTCCCGAGTAGCTGGGATTACAGGCATGCACCACTACACCCAGCTGATTTTTTATATTTTCAGTAGAGACGGGGTTTCTCCATCTCTTGGTCAGACTGATCTCGAACTCCTGACTTCAGGCAATCCTCCCGTCTCAGCCTCGCAAAATGCTGGGATTACAGGTGTGAACCACTGCACCCAGCTCTTTTTAAATTTATTTATATATTTTTTTATTTTTTGAGATGGAGTCTCACTCTGTTGCCCATACTGGAGTGCAGTGGTGCGATCTTGGCTCATTGCAACCTCCGCCTCCCAGGTCCAAGCAATTCTCCTGCCTCAGCTTCCCAAGTAGCTGGGATTACAGGCACCTGCCACCATGCCCAGCTAACTTTTTTGTATTTTTAGTAGAGACAGGGTTTTATCATGTTGGCCAGGCTGGTTTTGAACTCCTGACCTCAAGTGATCTGCTCACCTCGGCCTCCCAAAATGCCAGGATTACAAGTGTGAACCACCATGCCTGGCCTACAGCATCTTTATCTTAAACACTCCTTTCTGCTAACTCGAACTTTTTAGGCAAAGTTGTCTTCCATTTATCAATTGTGGATTAAAGAATCTCTGACTCTACCTATGACTTGTAAGCCCCCGCTTCAAGATAGTCTGCCTTTTTGGGCCAGATCAAGTATATCTTCCAAGTAGTGATTTATCTCTTTGCTTGTAACCCCAGCATCCCTGAAATGTGTAAAACCAAAGTAATCCGACCGCCTCGGGGACACGTTCTCAGGACTCCTTGTGACTGCGTGTTCCCAGGCTGTGGTCATTCATACTGGCTCAGAATAAACCTCTTTAAGATATTTGACAGAGTCTGGTTTTTCTGTTAACACCATCAGCAAAACTATCTGCTCTACTGTCAAACTATACCCTAAACCTAGTTAAGCCCGGATTCCAGGAACAGTCTCCAAGTTGCCGTCTCTGGCTTCACCCTTGCTCTCTGAGTCGGGAATGGACTTTTAAAACTCTGAATTGGTTCATGTTCCTTCTCTACTCCACACTCCCCAGGGCTCCCCAACTCACTGGCCTGAAGATCCAAAATCCTGAAGTGCGTGTCAGACCCACAGGCTCCCCTCCACCTCTGTGACCTCTCTGCGGCCTCCTCTTGCTCCCCACACCCCTCTGGCCTCCTCACCGTCCCTGAAGATGCCATGATTCTGCCCCAGGGCCTTTCCATGGGCCGTTCTGTCTTCTTGAAATGCTCTTCCCCAGACAGGCACATGGCTTGCTCCCTCATTTATTTTCTCTTCCTGCTTCGCTCTTTTCCTTAACACTGTGCCGCTTTGAAACGCGTTGTATGGTTCACTTTTTTGTCTTTATCTCTCCCAGTATATGGCAAGCTCCATGAAGGCAGCAAGTTTTGTCCATTTGGTTCACAGATGTATCTCAAGAAGCTAGAAAAGCACTTGGCACAGAAAGGTGCCCAGTAGGTGCTGGGTTTTTTTTTGTTTTTATTTTTGTTTTTTTGAGACAGTGTCTCATTCTATTGCTCAGGCTGGAGAGCAGTGGTGTGATCTTGGCTCACTGCAATCTCTGCCTCCTGCAATTTTCCTGCCTCAGCCTCCCGAGTAGCTGGGATTACAGGTGTGTGCCACCATGCCAGGCTAATTTTTGTATTTTTAGTAGAAACAGCGTTTCGCCATGTTGGCCAGGCTGGTCTTGAACTCCTGACCTCAGGTGATCCACCCACCTCAGCCTCCCAGGGTGCTGGGATTGCAGGTGTGAGCCACTGCACCTGGCCAGTAGGTGCTGTTTGAAAGAAAGAAGGAATGAGTGAATGAATGAATGAAACAGAACTTTAATGGATCATGAGGTTAGAAGCCAGGAGAACTTGCAGCAGGCCAGGAAGTAGGGAAGGTAATGGACAGGGTGAGTCTGTGCGCAAGGGGAGGGTTTGGGAAGCCAATACCTCATTCACTCATTCATTCATTCATTGTTACTCACTCATTCACTTATTCATTCACTTAGCACATGGTATTGAGCACTACTAAGGGTCAGGCCCTGTGTGGCATTGAGAGTACAACACCCAGGAGCATAGTTCCTGTTCCCAAGCAGCTCACATTCTAGTGGAGGACTCAGGACACCAGGCAGATGCTCACAACACCATGCGATCGTCTGTGATGGGTGGCTCATGGTGTTACAGAGACACCCAGAAAGGGCTTCTTGCCTTGGGAGGTGGAGAAAGGCTCCCTGTGCATTCAGGCATCAAGCAGAGGCCTGAAGAATGGATCACTGTGAGCCAAGCAAGGGGTGCATCATCGGGGTGCACCAGACAGAGGAGTGACTTGGGCAAGGGCCCAGTGCAGAGAGATGCAG